GCCCCGGCCCGCACTGGCCGCGCCGCCAGGCTGGGCGCCAGGGGCCGCTGCGCTCCCGCCGTGCGCCGCCGAGCCCCCTCGGGCGGCCGATCTCCGCGTGCGGGGGCGCCGGGGGGCCCCGCGGCGGGAAGGAAAGGCGCCCCCGCCCGGGCCGGCCCTACCCCTATACAGGTGGACGCCGGGACCCCGCTCGCGCCGGGGCCCTGGGGGCGCGTTGACCCCTCGCCCCGTCCCGGCGGAGCCCGGAGGCGCTACTATCTTCAGACCCGAGCCAGAGCAGAGTCCCAGCCCGCAGAGGCCTGGGGAGCCGGCCGAACCGGCTAGCGAACAACTGGAATTATTAATAGTTAATGCGGGTCGTATGGCAGCAGTGCTTGTTGGCTCCGCAGGGCGGGCTCTGGCTTTCGCGTCTGCCCTGAGGAAAGGAGGCCTCCTTCCTCCTCACCTCGGGGTTCTCGAGGCACTGAGCACCCCCTGGCCCGGCGCTCAGCTGGACGGGCCGCGGCCCTCACCGGGCAGGGACTTCTGTGGTGGGCGCAGACTCCGACCTGCAACGGGCTGGACACGCTCAGCTGGTGGCCTAGGGCTGCCTCGATGGCCAGGGGCCCCCATTGGGGACGCAGAGGAGCTTTGAGCTCTGCGCCCCATGAGGAAATCCCCTCTGAAAAATAGCCTGGGACTTCTCCTTCCCCTCTAGTTTGACAGAGAATCTCTGTCCTAAGCGGGAACTCTTCAGTAGCTGCGCCGGTAGAGCTGGGCTGTTCCTAAACCCAGTACCTTCTCACACAGAGAGCTCCGTGATCATCAGCAAGGGTAGGAAGTCCCCACCGCCACCAGCCACCCTACTCTGGAGGTCCTGACTGGTGTTCAGCTAAAGGCCTGGAGCCAGGGCCTGGCCCAGATCTACATGGCAGGGGTTCCGCCCTGGGCTAGGGCACTTCCCTGGCTAGACGAGAGGTGGGCTCTGTACAGGGCCCACAATGGCAGCCCGGGCCACATCCTTGTGCAAAGACAAAGGATACTTGTCCTGCTTGAGGCAGACCTGTTAAACTCAGAAATTTTCCAGCAGGTAGATCTTAGAGATCCACTGGCAACGTTCGGTCCTCCTACCTCCCTTATCCATCACTTTCAGGTAAGGAAAGAGGAGAGGGATTTGACTTGCCCTAGGTCACACAGCTGGTACAAGACAGCTTGCTGTGAACAGGAAGCCAGGATCATCCCCTCCACAGAGAATAAAGCCTGGTACATGCCTGTGTGCTGGAAAGTCAATCATTCGTTCAGGGCCCTTGGGAACAGATCACAAAATCCTGCACAGTCTTGGACATCTTTGGTCAGTGCAAGGACATATTACGCTGCTATACCTCCCTACCGCTGTGGACCCCACCATCTGCAGGTCCCAGGCTGCCCCTGACCCCAGGCATCAGAGGAGGAATCTAAGTGCTTTCTGGGGTTATGGAAAGGTGGTCTGTTTGCAGTGGGAGAATTCAGCTCTCCGGAGGGAATTTGCCCACCCAGCATTCCCAGGTAGATCCTGAGAACTCTTCCCCAAAGCCTGGTCAGATTAGGAAAAGTGTCCAGGAAGATGACAATTGCTCCTAGGAGGTGGTTGCCCTCAAGGTCATCAGCCTGGAAGAGATGGAGGGCGAGACTGAGGAGGTTGAGTGTGCAGGGCCAGTGGTGCTGCTGGGAGGCAGCTCCACCTGCACCTGCTAAAACCTGGAGACTGGCAGGAGCCCGGCATTGTCACCTCCCGAGGGCAGTTCTGAAGGGCTTAGACTATCCACTTTCCAACAGACGATCCATGGAGACATCAAAGCTGCCAACATCAGCAAGCGGCTGTGAAGCTGCCAGCTGTGGAGTGTCCAGACAGATCAAGGGGACAACTTTGAGGCGCTGGGGTCATCAAGCAGCTGGTCCAGGATTTCACAGGGGCTGCTGGGCCCTGGGAGTAACAGCCACCAAACTGGACTCAGGAAGCATCCAGATGCTGGCCTCCCTCCTATGAGAATTCTGTCTGCTCCCCAAGAACAACCTCTCCCCAACTCCAGAGGGGCATCTTGGCAATAAATAGAGATCGGGCAGGGTTTCCTGAAACCAGAGAACAGTTTCAGCCTCAGGATGACTGCCAGGGAGCTCCGGAAGTATAAGTTGATTACCACCATGGCCTCCTTCCTTACAGACACGCTCAGCACTGACACATGCAAGAAATTGGAGGGCTTGAAGAAGAATCCAGCCCTGGGCCTGACATTGATGGAGAAACAGGGGTGGAGACCACAGTCCCCTACAGATTCCCCCAAACCATTCAGATGCCCCCCCACCAATAAGCCACACCAAAGACTGATCCCTCCCTGTGGCTCCTAGAATTCTGTTGAGCCAACCAAAAGGCAACAAGAGTGACCGACTCCAGGTTTGCCCATTCTTGTCCAGACTGTCTGCAAAGAGTTCAAAGATAAACAAACCCCAGCAGACTGGAAGCCACATGGATACCCAGAGAGCACCTACGGCCTGGCCAAGGCATCCTGCCTGCGCTGGTTGTCTCCTCAACCCATGGCATTCCTGGTGGGGGTGAGCAGAGGTGTTTACACAGTGGGAACTGTCCAACTTCAGCCTGCCTGGGAGTCCTTCTGGGTGGGAAAGAGGGATCTCCCTTGTATTAATAACGACATACGAACCATGCAGCGCAGACCCTGGAAGTCAGCCGTGTTCCCACAGTCCTGAGCAGCGAGCTCACGTTGCCAATCTATTGTAGACCTTTATAAGGGCCTCGCTACCTGGGCTCATCGACATCCTACATCTTATTCTGGATGTGTCCCACAGGACGTTGCTTTAAGACACTCTAATCAAAGCTTAGGAAAGGTAACCCATTCTACCTTTAACCCTCCTGGTCCTGTTTTGAAGACTGGCCTTCTTTTGAGGAATAGCTGGGGTGCGCCTAGAAATCAGGAGTGAGTTACGCAAAATAAGCATGGCCCAAGGAGATGAGGGAGGCTGCAGAAAGACTGGCCTCTTCTCAAAGCTG